ACAGTCTCTTTCAAAAGATCCCATGTAGGTGGGACGCGTTGAAGTTAATGGGGAGAGAGAGAGAGAGAGAGAGGAGAAGGAGAAGAAGGAGGGTGGCATGATATATTTCCAGTGGTCCCTCGCGCGGGCACAGCCCTCCCCTGGTGCTGGTCGCTGATTACCCTGCCTCTGCCATTGGTCAGTGTTGGATCAGATGGTTGTATTTCCTTCTGGCCCTCACTGGCACCTCGCCATCCCCCCTCAGCTAAAACCCAATCTCAGATATACTACTAATAGGCGCGGCGCTCGGGATCATGAGCAAAACACAACAACTGGTAAACCCAGGCAGTAGCGGCCGAGTGCCTCCCCCTCCCAATGAGTTCCTATTTCGTGAACTCCACCTTCCCCGTCACTCTGGCCAGCGGGCAGAGTCCTTCCTGGGCCAGCTACCTCCGCCTACCTGTCGGCTGCGGACCTGCTGGAGTAATTACCCTCAAGTCTGGCCCGGGCCCGGCCAGGAAATGTGCTGGCGGCTTTTGCCGCTTCCTCTATTACCTCCGCCCGCTGGCGGCGGCTACGGCCGAGCGGCGCCTGCGATTCTGAGCGTCACCACCGCGAGAAGGAGTCGGCCTGGTGCGCGTCGGGGAGCCGAAGAGCCGCCCGGTTCCACCCCTGAGCCGTGAAGCCAGACTGTGCAGGACAAGAGTGTCTGAGGAGGAGGATAGAAGTACCCACCCTGGTCTACCCCAGCGGATGAATCTGTGCAACAGAGTGAGTTCTTCCCGCGGCCGCCCTGACTCCCCATAAGGCGGGCCCCACCCCTGGGACAGGAGGCCCCCATCTTCCTTCCTGCCTCCCCCCCCCCCCTCAAAAATAGTGGCATCTGTTGGGGAGCTGGCGGGAGGATCAAGGCTTCCACCCCGTCTCCTGCCTCTGGCCCTCCGGCCCTCTCAGGAGTTAAAAGCTAAAGTCCTACTGCACTGGGAGCCAGGGGGAGCGAGTGGGCTCTCCTGAGGCCTCACGCCAGGAGCCGGATTCCGGGGCAGGGAGGGTAGGGGGCCGTGCTTCAGTGGTTTTCCTCGTGCCCCAGGCCTGGTCGGTCCCCACCAACATCGTCCTACTAAACGGAGTGCGCCAATATACAGGAAGGGGGGGCAGGACGCTGGCGAGGGAGAGCTGAGTCTGTCCCTGGACTGTGTTTCCGGGGGTCCGGGCTGGGGAAGGAGGAGGCACCAGGAAAGGGGTGGTAGCTTGCATGAATATGGGGAAGAAAAGAGGAGCAGGAAGCAGTGGCAGGTAAGTGAGGGAGAGGGAGCAGTGCTGCGTGGTGCCTGGGGTTCTCTGCTGGATTATTGTCGCATTGAAGTCCCAAATTGATGTCCACATGAAAGTGAAAGGGAGCCGTTAATGCCGACTATGGATCTGATCCACGTCATTACGGATTGGCGGGCTTGAATCTACCACAGGTGGTGGGGTGCCGATAATGGAAAGAAAAGAGAGGCTGGGAAGACACACCTGGCCAGTGTGTAGCCTCCCAGCCCCTCCCCCTCGGCCCAGGGGGTTTAGTTCTCCTCCCATCCCCCACCTGCCCAGAATTGAGGCACAGGCCTGGGAGACCAGGAGGGAATCTGAGGGGGGTGGGAAGATGAGGAGTGAAAGAGGGGGGCGGGGTGAGCAGGGAACTGGAGAGGCGGAGGGCATCCGGGACAGGCTAGAGTCCATGTCTGAGGACGAGGGTGGGGGGGAGGGGGAAACCCGGGCCCCTGCTGACCAGGCTCAGCATCTTCTCTGCAACAGGTCGGGCTCAGGAAGGCTGACGTGCTGCCAGACTGCCACACGCTAACAGACGCTGGAGCTGGAGAAAGAAAGCCACAATCACCACCTGACGCGGCGGCGTGCGCGCATCGGATCGCGCACGCCCTGTGCCTGTAGGCAGATCGCCATCTGGTCTCCAGAACCGGCGCACAGGGAAAAGGAGAGCAAAACTGCTCAGCGCGCCCCAGCCTGGGTGCCGAGGAGGAGGCAGAAAGTCAGTGGAGGAAGGTGCTGGAAAGCAGGGGGGACGCGAAGGGAGCGGCCTGTGGGTCACTGGAGGGTCTCGAGAGTTCTTCGAGAAGGCCTGGTGGGCATGGAATCTGGGGACCTGTTGCTCTGAAGCACGACACGCAGTAGCCCCATGCCTCTCTCAGACTACTGCAGAGCTCCTTTACATTGCGCTGGGAGGCCGCCTGAGCCCTCTCCACCGCAGCACCCCTGAGCTTCCTCCTCCATCTCAAGGGACCTGCTTCAGCCCCCATCAGGCTCCCCCCAGAGAACTGGAGGACCAGGGACTCACCTGATGCCTCCATGCAGAGCAAATGCTCTTGTCCAAACTCATTTCCCGTCCATGTCCCCGCGCACTCCAGCAGGTAGGATTCAGAACCCCTCAGCGGGGGGGCCTCAAGACTCCCCTGACCCCAGACCCTCCCACCTCCCTAAAGCTGCCTGAAGTGAGCACATATTGGGACCACTTGTAGTAAGAAGAGGAGCCTCAGAAGAAAACAAAGTTCCCATTTTATTAATTTTCTATGTGTGTTGTGTTTGTAGTCTTGTTCAGGCTCTGACGTGAAATAAGCTTCTGTAATACATATTAATATTATTAATGATGATGATAATAATAAAGACGTTAAAACTCGCCGCTCGGAGTCACCCTGCCCCCCTCCTGCCACTCCCCCACCCCAAGGCCACCCCATCGTCCCAGTGGAAACTCCAGCTGCCAGTGCTGAGCCCTGTCGCAGCGTGTCCGACGACTCGAAGTTGTAGCAGCTGAGATAAAGGCTGGAGTTGTCCCGCCCAGGCCCCCCGCGCCGCGCCTCACCCGCCAGTGCTGAGGCTCCAAACAGCCTCCCTCCCCTGGTGCACACTTGGGGGACGGAGAAGGCCGCTCTCCTCATTTGGGGCTTTTCCCTTCGTTTGTCCGTGGCACGAGGGACTCATCGGTGTCTTCGAGCCCGAGCTGCAGAGACAGCCAGGAGGGTTCATGCTTCAACAGCCTGCTGTCCTCACGGATCGGCGAAGCCAGCCTTTGGCCTGTCCACATGGCCTGATCTCCTCCTGGCCTTGGCCCCTGCCCCGGGCCCGTGCCTCCCTCTGGAGACTAAAATCGGGGCCACTGGCAGGCATTCCTCTCCCAAGGCAAGAGCTGGAAGGTTTCCAGGCTCTCTTCCCAGCTCAAGCCAGGAGCTCACTCCAGGGGACTCCCATTATGCCATGGAAGCTGGGGTGGAGGGCGTTTCCACTCTTTCCCCTGTTCTCCTGACACCTCTGAGGGCAGGAGGCCAGGTGAGGGGGCATTTTGTCCTCATGCCCCCAACCAAAAAAAAAAACGACCCATTTTCTCTCCCCACCCCCCCACCCCTCACCCAGCAGCAGGCATCTGTGGACACTGTTTCCTTCTTCCTCCTCCCTCCTCTCCTCTCTCCCCGCTTTTTTATTTTTAAATAGAAGACATCCTGGCAGAAGAGCCCAGCTGTGGTGACCATGCCCAGCTTGCTCAGCAAGGCTACACAGCCACTGGTCCTCGAACCCCTTTCCAGGGAAGATGGGTCATGGAGCACATCTCTGAAACTGACCCAGATGCCAGCAGGCCTCAGTGGGGGCTTCACCCAATAGTGGGTGAATTGGTGAGTTAGGGTCTTGCCTTCATCCCAGACTCCTCAGGAACCAAACCCCAGGCACCTACTCTGCCGTCGCCTTCCCCAACTAGGTCAGCTAGGCCCCAGCTCTGTTCCTCCCTCTGGGGTCCCTGTCCTGTTTTTGCCATTTTCCGCCTGGCTAAGGAGAGGTAGTCAGGAGGAGGATTCCACTTCCTAAAGGGCAGTATGAAAGTCTGTGGAATTGTCCTATTCTGCCACGGCCTGACGCTATGCATGGGCCACAGTCCAGGAAAAGAAAGCAGGCTTGGGGCTGAACTCAGGGGAAACTGCATTACAATAATTGTTTTCACACATCTTCCAACCTCCCCACCATTTCCTTTCCTAACCTGAGACTTGTAAAGCCTACATATAAGGGAAAAGGACTCTAGTTTTTGATCATCTCATCCAGAGGAAAATATTAATAATAATAATGAGCAAGGAGAAGTGATTACCTGTATCTAACACCACTTTCAAGAAAGTGGGTAAAGGCTCAACTGGGTCCTCTCCTCTAAAAGACCTGCGGGTGAGCCTGGGTCAGGTTTTTCTGCCTCCCCAGGGGAGCCAGCAGGGAGGCATGGCGTTGCCGCCATGGCAGTCTGCGGCCTGCGCGCTCCTGCCGATCGCCGGGGAGGTGGCGCGTTTCTCTGCTCAGAGGCCGCCGCCAACCTTCTCCCGGTTTTCTCCCCTTCTCCTTTTTTTCCCCCTCTCGAGTAATTGCATTGACCGGCCCCAACGATTGATCGTCATTATTTGTAACCATAGAGCATGAATTACCCTTGAGGTCATCATGAGAATTTACGACTTCATCAACAAAGCACGATTCCTCTCTAACGCCCCCCATCCCTTCCATACTTGGCTTCAGCATACATAGCAAAACGAAGTACAAAGTGCATCGGCTACACCATTAATACATCAGTATAAATCGTGAAGCACAGGGTTATAACGACCACGATCCACAAATCGCTCGTACTTTGTAAACTCCTCCTTCAAGCGTGTTATCCAAATGCAGTCGCTAAATTATGGCAGTGGCAGCTCCTCTCCGAGCGGCTCTCCACAGGGATCCTGCCGCCATGCACACAACTGGCTCCCCCATGCGGCTACAATTGCCACTGGATCTCAGCGTCAACCGCCTCGGCCTCCTCCAGCCACTTTGGGGCGGTGGGCGAGGGAGACGCGCGCCTCCCCCGCCTGCCCAGGAGCTCCCCAACAGGCAGGCAGGCGGCGTCGACACCCCTGTCCTCGCCTGAGTCCCTGCCTCAATCTAACGGCGACAGCCAGCCAAGCCCTCTGTTTTGTCCTCCGACCAGGGCGCGACCTGGCCAGCTCCAGCGCCACTCTCACTGAAGGATTTGAGCTGGAAGCGCATCTGGATTGAGGAAGCGGCGAGCCAGCTAAGCAGCCCGAGCCTAGCTCGGGCACAGCCAGAGCCCATGGCCAATTTACAGCCGCGTGCCTGAGGGGCAGAGGCAGATATTCCCTGATGAGGGAAGCTTCCACATATCGAAGAGTGGTAATTGTCAAGCTGCTTTCTTTGTCTCTCCCCCGGCCTTTCCCCTGTGTTTGGGGAGGTTGGGGGGGGGGGGGAGGCGAGGAGAGCTTGGCTTTTCCTCAAATATAGATTTATTTTTTTTTCCGGGGGGGAGAAGTCTCTAAGAGGGTCCTCACAGCTCGGGGGATAGAGCCAAAGAAGGTCTAGGTCTTTAGCTGGGGAGGAGTATTTTTAATCATTTGTCTCCAGATTCGGCTAAGGTTTTATTCGCCCAGCTGTACTAGCTATAGGATGAAGGATGGGGTTTATGTAACGTGGGGAAGGGTCGTGCTTACCCCCGAAATTTTGAGGCTGCTGCTAGCAAAGGAGGGGCGAGCAGTAAACCGAGCTTTCCAGGGCAAAAGTGCAGCCGCTCTCCTCCCTCCCGGGGCGAGCGGCCGCCTGAGCCCAGCGAAGGGTGAGGCACAGGGAGGGAGCAAGAGACAAAGCCGGGCGCATTCACTGCCGGCAGAAGTGGGGGCTGCAGGAGAAGGGGGTGCAGAAGCGAGCTCGGATGCGGGCGTCTGGAGTGGGGAGGATTGGAGCTGCGGTGAGCTGGGTGCCAGGGACGCCTGGGTCCTGCTCCACGCCCCTCTCCCATCCAGTGCCCCCCTCCCTTAACCGGAATAACATTGCCTCGCGGCTCTACTCTGTCTGCTCCAGATATGACCGGGCCGGACGGGAAAAGGGCCCGGACCGCGTACACCCGCTACCAGACCCTAGAGCTGGAGAAGGAGTTCCACTTCAACCGCTACCTGACGCGGCGGCGGCGCATCGAGATCGCCCACGCGCTCTGCCTGTCCGAGCGCCAGATCAAGATCTGGTTCCAGAACCGGCGCATGAAGTGGAAGAAAGACAACAAACTGAAAAGTATGAGCCTGGCTACAGCCGGCAGCGCCTTCCAGCCCTGAGCCCGCCGGGAGGAGCCCTGGGTGGCCCAAGAGCCCTTGCCGCCCCCAGCCCTGGCCCCTCCAAGCCTCCCTGCGCTGCCACTGCCCGCTGGGGACCGGTTCCCACGAGCCTGCCTCGCCCCGGCCTTGTGTTACGATTTTTCGTTCGGTCTTAGGTCTTCCTGTGGCTCCCTCTCTCCTGGACTGGTTAATCTTGTTATTATTGTTAATAATAATTATTATTATTATTTTCCCTCCATGCTCCCCACTCCCCTCCACTCACCCCAAATCCGCCAGTATTTCTGAATGTTCGTGTCTGTGGTTGCACTTCTTCCCCCAGGAAAGAAAGAAACTCGCATGTTTAATGTGAACTTTCCCCTCCCCATCTGTGTTCTTCTAACTTATTTATAAAAGGATGGTCGCTGTATTTTGAGTTTCAGCTTGAAACTTCTCTAAGGGGCAGCAGTTGAGGTGGGGTAGTGCCGCAGCAGCGCCCTGGCCCAGCTGAGCTGGCCTCCGCGATGGAGTCCATGACTGTCTCTTTCCACCCTCCTCCTCCTCCCTCCCCACTCCCCAGGCCCAAGTCTCCCAGTGGCTTGGTCCTGGGGTGGGAAGGGGGCAGGGAGGGCCAAAGAGGGTGATATGGAGAAGAGGGAAGGTAAACCTTGAGAGTAAGGTTCCTGCCGCCTGGGTAGGCCCCACAAGGCCTGGCCTGGGAGTGTAGGGAAACAAAAATAATCCTCAGTGTAAAATGTCTTGTGTATTTCTCTGTGAGTCCATGGGTCTGGAGTAGAGGGCCCGAACCTTGTAAATATGGGGATAGTCTGGGTCAGACCCATCCCCTCCCCACCCCCCACCCCCAGTTCGCTTCTAAGACCATTTGTAGTGAGTGAGTGGATGCTGTGCTACGTGTGAAATCTGTCTTTGCCTTTGCCGGGCCTGTCTCAGTGATTCGCTTTTGGTATTTGTTTGTAGCTTTCCTTGAAGTCAAATAAATGTTTCCCCTACTCCACTGCCCTCCCACTTGTCTTTTCTCTGGGGGCCTGCCTCTCCCATCACTGGGCACACCCTAGACCATTCTTGACAGATCTGGGGTGTAGGGAAGGGAAAGCAGGGTGCTTGCCAGCAGCCTCTCTTAGCCACCTACATCCCTGGCTTGGTCAGCGGTACTTGGGCCAAGGGATAGGTTTTCCCCCCCGTCTGGGGGACTGGGAGGCCCAGAAATCCCACACGGGGCTGGAGTAAGGGAAAGGCCGAGCTGGACTCTACCCTGGCCTTCCACCAGCCAGCCAGAAAAGCCTCTAGAAACCTCTTCAGGGAAAGCAGTTTAGGCCTAAGTCCTGTTAGGAGGCTCCTGGCCTTTTGGGAGTGGTACAGGCCTGCTCAGATCCCCTGGCTCCTGGCCCAAATCCCAATTCAGCTCTGCCACCCACTAAGACCAAAAAAAAAAAAAAAAAAAAAAAAAAAAAAAATCAGCTCAATTTCAAAGGTTTTCTCTCAACCTCAGTCTTCTCTATACTTATCAAGGGCTCCCTCTCTCCAGGGGCCCAGCTGACCTTCCTTCTTCATTAGGAGTTGGGGTCCCTCCTGAAAGACCCCTGTTCCCCTGCCAGCCCGAGTGGCCCAGGGTTAGGGCCCAGTCTTCCTCCATCCAAGTCCGCCTCCACCCTGAGTACAAGAGTCAAGTCTGGACACTTACCCGGTCAATCCCTTCCAGCTTGGCCCAACTTCTTACAGGACTTGGGGGGGGAGGGGGAACTGGTGAGGAGGCAGCCAAGGGTCGTAGAGGCTCTACTGGGCCCTCCTTCCCCCTCACCCCTTGACTTTGTCCCCCTTTGTCCATAGCAAACTATCCCAAAAGTCGCTATGACATTTAGATGTCAAATGGATAGGGGTTTTATCTCGAAGTTAGATCGTAAAAATCGCCGAGAAGTCAGACAGATACCCCTCACTGGCTCGAGAAAGTCACGTGAGGTCCATAAAGTTAGTTTTATGGTTTTGGGGAGTTGACACCGCGCGGTATATTTCACATTCTCCAGAATGTTAAGTGACACTTTAACTGCTCGCTGTGGTGGGGAAGGGGGCAGAGGTAGGTGAGCGCTCTCCCAGCCCAGAAGGCGGTGGCGGCAGCCCAGGCCCCCGGCGCTCCCGCGGTAAGTGGCTTCCAGCTTTCGCTTTCTCCCCTCGCAATTTTGGGGCTTGGAACTGGGGAAGGAAATCTTGCCTCCGGCCGCAGGGCTGTGAGATGATAAGGTGGGGGAAATTTAGTCTGCGTTTTGCACCGAGTCCTGACAGGCTGGGTGTCTGAAGTGGGGGCACTCGGTTCCATAAGGCCTCAGCGGTTGGGGTGCCTGGTTTGTATTCGCAGGAGTGTCTGGCTCTTTGTGGGGAAAGGGGCTCGTGGGGGCTCCTTCGGTGCCCTTGGAAATTTAGGGGGCAAGAGGGAAGGATGTGTATTACTGAAGCAAGGGCCCTTGTGGGGGGGCCACTTCACTGCTGGATATCTTCAGACAGACATCTCCCCACCCCCAGGAAAGAAACTTTATGACATTCATTTGTCAGGGGTGTGTGGGGGCGCGCGCGGCTGGGCACTTTTATCTGGATACATCTGAGCTGAGAAAAAGCACCCGCAAGGCTAGCGCAGCTGCTGGGGGCTGCCTTGCACTGGGGCTCTCTTTGGCTTTCAGATTTTTGAACCCTATGAAAGGGGGTCCCTGCCTTTTCTCCAAGGCCTGTTGGAGGGGGTTACTCAGGATGGGGAGCGCGGCACTTCTGCACCCAGCTTCAGCTTGTTAATTCCAAGCCGACCCTTCTGCTTGGCTCTAAGTAGGGTCAGAGGGGCACAATCCCCTCAAATTCCAAACCTAATTCCTGGCCAGGAGTGGGGGGGGGGGAAGGGGAGCGCTTCTTCCCTTGCCTGGAGGAGTTAGATGTTGAAGCAGATCCCTGGCAGTCCCTCCATAAATAAAACTTGCTCCAGAACACAGACCCCAACTGTCCGGAGTGGGGGGGGGGGGGGGGGGAAGAAGGGACGCAGGAGCTGGGAGAGAAAAATCAGAGGTTCTCTCTTTCCTCTCCTCTCTCGCCCTCTTCTTTTCTCTCCACCAGACCCTTAAAAGCCCCTTTGTTTTGTGGCACCACAAACCAGAGGGATTTCATCATTTGACCCCCAGGGGGCCTGTTATTTTCTAAGGGTAAGTCACCCTCTTCTAAAAACCAGAGGCCTCCTCTCCACCAAACTGACCACCGTCCCCCCCCCCCCCCTTTTAAGATCGACGGGGTCTGCCACCCTGTTACTCCTGTTTTTGCTGGCCTGCCAGCTTATCAACTCCTGTGGATAGTTCCTCAAATTGGACATATGGCGCCTTAAGGGGCTTCTGATCTTTGGGACAAGGAGAGGGCCACAAGATTCCCTTCATTTCCCATTAAAGGATGCCTGCCCTCTGCCTCTCTCCTCTCTTCCCTGCAGCCACTCTCTGTTCCCTGAGCTCTCCAGTCCCTGCCCAGGCCTGACTTAGGAGAGCCTTCACAGGTTTGAGAGCAAAGAGGACAGAGAGCTTGGTGTCCTCACCCTGATTTGAAGATGAATCTCCCCAAGAATGATGAGGCATTGGTATCCCTTGGAAAGGAGACTCCGGTCAGTTCCCAAAGGATCCTCAGCATCCTTTAAAATACCAATATATTTTGGAGGCATAGCTTCCCCACGCTCCCACTCTGGACAAGGCAAATGAGTTGAGTAAGGTGCAGAGGAAGAGTGCAGTAGGGGCAGAATCTGACCTGGGGCCTCCTGGGAAACCCCATTGCCATGTGCCCTGGCCTCCCTCCAACGCTGCCTCCTTCTCTCAGAAACCCCAGACCACCAGGCCCGCCTTGAAGATTTTTTTTTTTT